GCTTGAGAGATTTTCCCCTAAACCCTGAGGAGTTACCTTTGCCCTAGTTTTCAACCTGACAGGGTTTGTTACTTTTGTCCAGGTTGACTGGCATTTCCTCAGAAAGCTCGAAATAAGGATGGTTTACTACTTTTTGCCTGGCCCTGAGCTGCAGTTCGCCATGTGACTGGTATGCACACTACAGGAATTGGCCAATGCTGTTGTTATTAAGTGACCTCGAGTCAGTTCTGACTCACAGCAATCCTATGGACAACAGAACAAAACACTGCCCGGTCCCACGCCATCCTCACAATTGTTGCTATGCTTGAACCCATTGTTTCAGCTACTGTGTCAATCTATTTCATTGAGGGTCTTCCTCTTTTTCATTGACGCTCTACTCTGCCAAGCATGATGTGGTAACATGTCCAAAGCATGTAAGACAAAGTCATCATCCTTGCTTCTAAGGATCATTCTGACTGTACTTCTTCCAAGACAGATTTATTCGTTCTTCTGGCAGTCCATGGTATATTCAATATTCTTCGCCAACATAATAAGTCAAAGGCATCAATTTTTCTTCAGTCTTCTTTATTCATTGTCTAGCTTTCACATGCATATGAGGCCACTGAAAACACCAAGGTTTGGGTCAGCTGCGCTTTAGTCCTTAAAGTGACATCTTTGCTTTTCAACACTTTAAAGAGGTCTTTTTCAGCAGATTTGCCGAATGCATCATTTGATTTCTTGACTGCTGTTTCCATGGGTGGTGACTGCGGATACAAGTAAAACGAAATCCTTGACAACTTCAATCTTTGCTCTGTTTATCATGATGCTGATTATGGTTCACTTGTGAGGATTTTTGTTTTATGTTGAGGTATAATTCATACTGAAGACCATAGTCTTTGATCTTCACCAGTAAGTGCTTCAAGTACTCTAAACTGTCAGCAAAGTTGCATCATCTGCATATCGTAGATTGTTAATGAACCGTCTGCCAATCCTGATGCCCCGTTCTTCTTCATATAGTCCAGCTTCTCAGATTATTTGCTCGGCATACAGACTGAATATGTATGGTGAAAGCATACAACCCTGATGCACACATACTTTTCCTGATTTTAAACCATGCAGCATTCTCTTGTTCTGTTCAAATGACTGCCTCTTCTTGGTCTATGTACAGGTTCCACATGAGCACAATTAAGTGTTCTGGAATTTCTATTCTTCACAATGTTATCCATAATTCGTTATGATACACACAGTCAAATGCCTTTGTATAGTCAATAAAACACAGGTAAACATCATTCTGGTATTCTATGCTTTCAGCCAGGATCCATCTGACATCAGCAATGATAATCCCTTGTTCCACGTCCTCCACTGAATCCAACGTAACTTTCTGGCAGTTCTCTGTCCGTGCACTGCTGCAACCGCTTTTGAATGATTTTCTGTGAAATTTTACTTGGGTGATTTTAATGACAGTATTTGATAATCTCCACATTCTGCTGGATCATCTTTCTTTGGAATGAGCATAAATATGGGTCTCTTCCAAATAATTGGCCAGGTAGCTGTCTTCCAAATTTCTTGGCATAGACCAGTGAGCACCTCCAGCGCTGCATCCATTTGTCGAAACATCTCAATTTGTATTCCGTCAATTCCTGGAACCTTTGTTTTGCCAATATCTTCAGTCTGGACTTCTTCCTTCAAAACCATTGGTTCTTGATCATGTGCTATCTCCTAACATGGCTGAACGTCCATCAATGTTTCTTGGTACAGTGACTCTGTGCTCCTTCCATCCTCTTTTGATGCTTCCTGTTTCACTTAATATTTTCCCCGTAGAATCCTTCGATATTGCAATCCAATGCTTGAATTTTTTCTTCAGTTCTTTCAGCTTGAGAAATGTCGAGTGTGTTCTTCCCCTCTGGTTTTCTATCTCCAGGTCTCTGCACATGTCATCATAATACTTCACTTAGTCTTCTTGAGTCACCCTTTGAAATCTTCTGTTCAGCTCTTACGTCATCATTTTTTCCTTTTGCTTTAGCTACTCTGTGTTCAAAAGCAAGCTTCAGAGTCTCTTCTGACATTTATTTTTGTCTTTTATTTATTTCCTGTCTTATTAATGACTTCTTGCTTTCTTCAGGTATGATGTCCTTGATGTCTTCCCACAACTCATCTGGTCTTGGTCATTAGTGTTCAATGCGTCAAATCTATTGTTGAGATGGTCTCTAAATTCAGGTGGGATATACTTTTTGCCTGGCTCTCGTGGACTTTGTCCAATTTTCTTCAGCTTGAACTTGAACTTTCATATGAGTAATTGATGGTCTGTTCTGCAGATGGCCCCTGGCTGTGTTCTAACTGATGATATTGAGCTTTTCCATCATCTCTCTCCACAGATGTTAACTGATTTGATTCCTGTGTATTCCATCTGGCAAGGTCCACATATACAGTCGCCATTTGTGCTGTTGAAAAAAAGGTATCTGCAATGAAGAAGTTGCTGGTCTTGTAAAATTCTATTATGTGACCTCTGGCACCGTTTCTATCACCAAGGACATATTTTCCAACTACTGGTCCTTCTTTTCTGTTCCCAACTTCCGTGTTCCAATCACCAGTAATTATCAATGCATCCTGATTGCATGTTCCACCAATTTCAGACTGCAGAATCTGGTAAAAACGTTCAGTTTCTCATCTTTGGCATCAGTGGTTGGTGCGTAAATCTGAATAACAGTCATATTAACCGGCCTTCCTTGTAGGAGTAGGGATATTATCATACCACTGACAGTGCTGTACTTCAGGATAGATCTTGAAATGTTCTTTTTGACGAATGCAACGCCATTCCTGTTCAAGCTGTCATTCCCAGCATAGTAGGCCATATGATTGTCCGATTCAAAATGACCAATACCAGTCCATTTCAGCTCACTAATGCCTAGGATACCAATGTTTATGTGTTCCATTTCATTTTTGACGATTTCCAATTTTCCTAGATTCACACCTCATACATGTCACATTCCGATCATTAACGGATATTTGCAGCTACTTCTTCTCTTTTTCAATGGTGCCACAACAGCAAATGAAGGTCTCAAAAGCTTGATTCCATCCACATCACTAAGGTCAACTCTACTTTGAAGAGGCAGCTCTTTCTCAGTCGTATTTTGAGTGCCTTCCAACCAGAGGGGCTCATCTTCCAGCACGACATGAGACAATGTTCTGCTGCTATTTGTAAGATCTTCACTGCTTAATTTTTTCAGAAGTAGACTTGCTAGGTCCGTCTTCCTAGTCTGTCCTAGTCTGGAAGCTCAGATGAAACCTGTCCACCATGAGTGACCCTGCGTGTATCTGAAATACCAGTGACACAGCTTCCAGCAACACACAAACCACTGCAGTACATACAGCAAACTGACAGACTGGTCAAGTCTATGCAAATAAGGTGACTATAGCCTACTATGCAAATGAGGTGTCTGTGGCCTACCGAAAGGGGACTGATCAGTTTAAGACCCCACTGGGAGGGGCCACGATTTGAAACTGACAAGGGGGTGTGTATACATGCAGCCAACCCCACAGAGGTTTTCTGAACAGAAAGAATTGGGAAGACAAGAAGCACAAAGGAGAAAGGGCAAGGGAGAAAGGAGGCAAAGAACCTCTAAAAGAACTGTAACACAGGCCAAAGGCTGTAACACTGAAGACAGTGACAGGCACAGAAGGGGCCCTGCAGCAGAGCTGGTGATGATAGATGGCAGGGCCAAGAGGAGCCTGTCCCAAGGGAGCTGAGAGAGATGTCCTGCACTGAAGAAGTGAGACTGCCTACATGCTTCCTGATTCTGATCCCAAGTTGTAGCCTGCTGATCCTGATCTTTAGGTGTACTCTGTTACCTCCTTAATAAACTACTTAACTGTAAGTATGGTCTGTGAGTTCTGTGTGGCCATTGCAATGAACTGTTGAACCTAGAAGTAGAAAATGCCGTGGAGAGGACAGCTGATGTCATAATTGGTAAAAAGGTTAGAAAGTGGAGAAATGTCTAACCTCCAAGTCATAGGAACCAGCTTTGAGCTGATCCTGGTCATTATCCCCCCTGAAGTTAAGACAGGTTCTGACACTATTACTACTACCCTTTTACACATATGTAGCCCACCCCCAGTCCCTACAGCTCCTACAAACAGTCCTTGTGACTGGTCAGCAGCAGGGACTCCCTTGCTGTGACAGTGACAATGGCATTACCGCCTCCTGACCTCCTCCCTGAGGACACAGTATTAGCCAGCCATACAGAGAACACACCTGCCCCATCCAGTGACAAGCCAGGTCCAACAGAACCATGTATAAGGACACACAGGGCTGACTGGCCACCCTGGACACACATGCTAACATCAATGGTAGAGGGCCTTTCAATCCTCAGCACCTCCCCTGCAGAAGAAGTGTAGTGACTACCACCCTGTGAGGCAGCTGTCACCCTATGGGGTAGCTATCATCCTGTGGGTGATGTGCCACCCTGTCAGGCAAGTGCCATCCTGTGGGGTAGCTGCCACCCTATGGGGTAGCTATCATCCTGTGGGGGATGTGCCACCCTGTCAGGCAAGTGCCACCCTCTGGGGTAGCTGCCACCCTATGGGGTAAGTGGCACCCTGTGGGGTGGCACCCTGTGGGGTAAGTGCTACCCTGTGAGGAGCACCCCTGACTGAGGAGAGAAGTCACACAAAGGACAAAAACAAGTAGCAGCTACTGGCCATAGTGATCAGCCAATTAATAGTTTCGGCTATTAACATTGCTCTTACCATTGTTATTAACACTGCTATTCATGCTGACCTAAAGCTTAAAAGAAAAAGCTCAGGAGGCTTACTTCAATGAATGCTATACAAGACGACGAACACGTCTCAGATGAAAATAAACTGACCTAATAATTCAAGAGAAATAAAATACAAAAACACCCCGTCGGGCATACATAGGGAGCTTGCTAAGGCCCACAAGTGCCCAGGCTGCTGACTTGCAGAACCTGTGTTCAAGCCTGCAATCTTCTCTGCGATTTTCACCGTAGACAGCCATGTCCTACCTTCTGGGCCCGGTCAGTCTCCGACATGCTCTCTTTGGAAGTCCGGCTGTCCTCCGTAGGAAACGCCGCTGCCTGCTCTGCCGCGTGCTCATCGTCCTCGTCTAGCTCCTCGGAGTCATCCTCTTCTGAGTCCATCTCCAGACTCTCTCCATTCACATGCAGGGTGCTGTCACCCAGGTCCTTCTCACCCTGGAACAGGGGCAGGTGGATACACAAGGCAGAACCACTCAGTGTCACAACCTTGCCTGGGGAGTAGGGACACAGCCCAAGGCCCCACCACATGGGGAAGGACTCTGGGAAGCAGGAAACAAGCAAAGAGGACAGGGCAGGACGAGATGGAGCTCCAGTAACCCATAGGGACACAGAGGCTTTGTCCCCCGGCGCAAAGGGGCTCTAGAGTTTGGGTTCTTTCAACAACGACTAAGATCATCAATTTACTGATGACTTCACATGACAGGGATGAAAGTCATCCAAGTTACTAATGATCTCACACTATAAGGAAAAGGATCATCCACGTTACTGATGACCTCACAGCATAGGGGTTAGGGTCATCCAAGTTACTGATGACCTCACATGATATGGACAAAAGTCATCCAAGTTACTGATGACCTCATATGATAAGGATGAAAGTCATCCAAGTTACTGATGACCTCACATGATAGGGGTGAAAGTCATCCAAGTTACTGATGACATCACAAGATAGGGACGAAAGCCATCCAAGTTATTAATGACCTCACACGATAGAGATGAAAGTCATCCAAATAACTGACGACTTCACAGAATAGGGATAGGTTCATCCAAGTTACTGATGACCTCACAAGACAGGGATGAAAGCCACCCAAGTTACTGAAGACCTCACACAGTGCTCTTTTTGCCAGACAGGTGCTGTACACATAGTGCATTTCCAAGCACAAGGGCAAATAACTCAAACGTTAGCCTTACCTTGGAACCCACAGTGGAATGAGTTATACTCTTAAACATCTCAATCACCGTCCTCTGTTTTAATACTTTGGTCTTTTTCTTAGGAACCAGGCTATAGGTTCCCATTCTTCGTTTTTTCTTCCGAGATACTGCAGCTGCTAAAACAAAAGGCAAGCAAGCTAAAAAAAAAAAAAAAGTCAAAAGGGGACAAGAAAGGAAAAGAAATACCATTCAAATGTTTTTAAAGGCAGGCGACAGTTTACAAAATCCGATTACCAAAATCATCAGCAAATGCCATCACATCAGGCCCACTTCATTCTAGGGCCAACCACGCTGCAACGTGACAGTGCATAAATATGCATTTCTACTCGCTTTGTTTATAACCTGAACAAACTTTCTCTTTGTTTATAGAGAAAGCTGAAACTACACTCCTAAGTCATCTGTTCTACCAGGGGAGAATAGCGAGCTCTATGGGGGCAGGACATGCAGTGCAGGAAACCCTGTGCCATCAGTGGTAGGGCCCAGTGAGCAGCCTCCAACACCACAAAGGTCTATTTGACCTTGAATGCAACAGTACTCCCCCGAGAAGGGCCTCACACCTCGCCAAAGAGACCACTTCTACGGGTACGTGTCAGGGAAGGAACACGGGCTGAGAATGAAGAGCCCTGGAGCTGGCTGCCAGCCTGACTACTGCTCAGCTGAGGACTCCAGTTTCTCACCCAGAAAGTAAACGTGAGTCACATGATCCCCAAGACCCTCCCGCCTCTAAAGCAGGATCACCCAGCTGGTAGCCTTGCTCCACTTCCACGCTCACCAGCATCCTCTCCCGGGAACAGGATGCGGCCCTCGGAGCAGCCTTCCAGCACAAAGGCTGAAGAAGGGAGCAGAAAGGAAAGGAGCACATGTCTGGGGTTCTGGGGCTACTAGAAGCGGTGGAAGGAAACCATGAGGGGAGCTCAGGGGATCCAGTCCCCTTCTGAACAAAGCAGCTCCAGACTGACTGGTTTCATAGAACGAAAAGGAAAAAAAAAAAAAAAAAAAACCTGTTGCCATCAAATCAATTCCAACTCATAGCGTAGAAATGTCCCATAGAGTTTTCAAGGAGCACCTGGTAGATTCGAACTGCCGACCTTTTGTTTAGCAGCCGTAGCTCTTAACCACTAAGCCACCAAGGTTTCCTCTACAACATTTTATTTTAAAAGCTCTAGGGTTTACAAAAAAAACCTGACAATCATTGCTTTAACAAACAGGAACTGTACTAAAGGCCTGGGGGAAACCATGTGCTTTAATAAAACAGAGAACAAGAACACTGAAAGAGTGCACACAAACGCAGATTGCATCAGCAGGAGAGCGTATGCTGACCGTGAGGGCTGGGGTGTGCACATGGAGGGGGGCAGTCACTGCACAGCCTTCTAGATGCAGTCAGGGCTGTGTTGCAGGGGTGGGGGCATGAGGACGCTTGCTGTCACTGGCTGCGATTGGGGGGTGGGCTCGGAGCACACACTCATCACTGGAGCACACTCCAGGGTGGCCCCGGGGCAGTCCAGTGACCCAGGGCTGTGTCTGTTGTTGATACAACTCCACTCTCACAGTCATCCTTGTCTTGAATTTTTTTGGGGGGTCAGGGGTGCCCTGCATTTGATATCAGATCCCCTGTAAGTCTCTCGGCTCTAATAACACGTGCACTTCCTCACTTGTTTGCCCCTTGGAACACGCGGCCCTGCCACGTCCACTCGCTGCTGGGCCAGGGCTCCTTCCTATCCAGCCCCTCACTACCTGTGCAGTGAAGGGTCTTTCCGCAAGTGCAGAATTTACTGAGGAATGGTCTGTGCGTGGACGTTTAGAAAGGCAGCACCTCTGACAGCATTTGGATGCGTACAAACGAGTGCCTGAGACATCAATGGGGGGTGCGGAGTGTCAAGGAATGGGCGTGAGGAGGGAAATGAAGCAGGAAGCTGGTGGTGTTCAGAGGGGGCAGGGGCACAGGGAGGGTGGCTCCTTCACGGAGACCCACAAGGAGAAGGTTGGTGCTCTGTGAGTATACAGAAATGCTCCCCAACATCGGGAGGAGAGGGCCTCCCAGGGCCCAGATGCCAACTCCTTACAGTAGAAATTCAACTAACTATAAATAAAGAGGGAATGACGGACAGAATCACCACTTGGCATTCGCCAGAGTTAAAGTGAGCCTGGGCGAGAATCTTCAGGGAATGAAAGCAGAGAGCAGCAGGGTGCAGGCACAGCTGCACAGGCCTCCTCCCGAGACACGCGGCAACACCAGATGGCATCGGCCACTCCACAGCTGGGGGCCTGCGGGTAGCCCGACCCCGGGGGCACGTCGTACAGGGCACGTACAGGGCACGCGGAAGACACGCATTGCCCAGTGACATGCATCAGAGGAAACATCAGGCTATTGGCCTGGAGCCGTCTACAAACACTAGTCAGAACCTTCAAAGCTGCGAGGGCAAGAAAGACAAAGCGAGGTTGAGGAATGTCCTGGACCCGCGAGACACAGCAACTACATGCGCTGAGTGACCCTGGGCTGGATCCTGGGCCAACGCGTTTCTTCTGCTGGACGCTGAGGGCTAAGGGAGTGATGAGGCTGCCTGCACAGGTCAACTAATAGGACAACTGGCAACAGCTGAACAAGGTATGCAGCTTAGACGGCAACACCCTATCAAAAGCCCTTCCTGGGACAAACAGACTACACGAACCACGGCCTCATCTACCCTAAGACCAGGACTAGACGGTGCCCGGCTACCAACCTCACAGAATGAGAGAAAAATGTGGAACAGAACCTCAAATCCCTTTTAAAAAAAAAAAAAGACCTACTGGACTGGTTGAGGGTGAAGGACTCCCTGAGGCACTCTTCAAACCTTGAACTGAAACCACCCCGAGGTCACCTTGTAGCTAAATAACAGATTGACTCGAACACTAATGGCTATCACCCTTAAGTGCTGGGCTCTTTTAAAAAAATCACCTATATGAGCCTGAACGGTTAATAATCACTTTAAAACAAAGATCAGAATGTAAGGGGGCAGGGAAACTAGATTTATGTAATTGGAACAATATAAATGGAAATAATGAGAATGTTCACACACTGTGAAGAATGTAACCAATGTCACTAAACAACTTGTGTAGAAATTGTTGACTGGGAACCTAAACTGCTGTGTAAACCAAATCTTCACCAAAAACACAATCAATATTTTTTTTTTTTTTTTAAAAAAGGTAACTTCCTGATGTTGGTAACTGTGCTGTAGCTATCTAAGAGAATGTCCTTACTGTGGAGACACTGCACTCTTGTTTTTAGGAAATACAGTCATGTATTTAGAGGTTATACTCATAATTCAGAAATAAAAAGTTATATACAGAGTATGATTATGCACCAAAAAAAAAAAAAACTAAACCCACCGCCATCGAGACAGTTCAGACTCACAACGACCCTACTGCACAGAGAAGAACTGCCCCATAGGGTTTTCTAAGGAACGGTTGCTGGATTCAAACCGTCAACCTTTTGGTTAGCAGCTAAGCTTTTAACCACTGCACCACCAGGGCTCCATGATTATGCACACATGGTAAAATGAGTAAAGCGTATGCAGGAATTCATAGAATTTTCGCAGCTTTTGTGGAAGTCTGCTATTTAACAATGAAGTGTTTTTAAAGTCCAGAAAAACACACGCACCCACACATGGGGGGCACTCAGCTGAACTACAATCTTCCAGGTTAACAGCCCCCACCAGGCCCAGAGAGCCTCTCAAACTCCCCCCAAACTACGCTGGAGAGCACGCTGAATTCATCTCGCTCAAGAGAGGAAAGGCGAGTGCCCCAGAGGGGCCCAAGGGACCCTCACTCCAAGGTGACCCGCCACCCCAGTATCTTCCCACGCTGCTGCACATGCAGCCCCCACCTCCTGTAAAAGGCCCCTAATAAGTGGCTGAGGGTCTGTCCCCTCCCCCGGCTGCCAGCACAGGTCACAAAGACAAGCAGTGACAAAGCGAGAAACAGTCCGCAGGTCTCTTCAGTCTTAACCCAAAGGCCTTTCAATGCACAGCAGTGCTTCCAACAACACTCAATTCATGAATCAGGCAATTTCTCAAACACAACAGCCAACTAGACCAAATTAGTAAGATTTTAGGAATGAAGAGGCTCTTCATCCTCAGAGTGAAAACGAGCTCAGAAAATCATGAGGCCCTAAGCAGGGTCCTCAAGCAGATGTCCCATGTCCCTCTGCCAATTTACAGGTGCGGACAGGTGCGTGCTGGGGCCACGGCCGCGTCCCGAAGCAGCACACGCACACAGCACACAGTCACGCACCCTCGGATCAGCAGCTGGGGCCTACCTGTCTGGGACTTTGCAGTGGCCACGTAGCACTGGTTCTGAGGTAGCGACTGATGCAGGGATGGAAACGGGGGTAAGAGCTGCTGTCTCCCAAAATCAGCCACATTCCTGTTGATCTCCTCCTTCAACTCCTTGTGGTCTCTGGCTTCTCGAACTTCTCGAGGCTCCTTACTGGCCGCATGCTTCAAAACAGAGACAGTCAGTAACCACAATTACACACTGGGGCCTCAGTGAAACAACACACCCCGAAACTTAGCTCCTTTCCCCACAAAGCCCCTCAACTGAAAGAAGGGAGGATCAAGGCTCACAGCCACGACAGCAGGGACAGGGTGCTGGCGCCAAGACCCCCATGGGCGGGTGGTTCAGGGCAGGAGGTGCGAAGTGCGGCCCTCAGACTGAGAATGGTATTTACGTTTTTAAAGGGAAGGAGGAGGAGGAGGAAGCAGGAAGGGGGGAAGAAGCAGGGACAGAGGCTACCTGTGGCCAAGAAGCCTGAAATATTTTTTATCCAGCCCTTTACAGAAAAAGTTTGCCGGCCCCAGAATTCAGCTAAAACATCCCCAAAACGGGCAGCATTAAACACTCTCAGAAAGCACTTTTACAGCTTACCATGTACACTTTGCAACATCCCCAGAAGGTACATGTGCTACCACTGACAACAATGCTACATTTAAAAATCATTTTGCTCACGGTTTTACCATATCCCTGCCCGGCCTCCAGAAGCCAGTCAGGCACAGCCTCACACCTCTACCTGCGCCATCTGTGCGCAAGCCCTGACAGCTCCATGGCCTCCACTCCAGGCCCTCAGGCCACCTCCCTCCTGCTTCCCTAAGTCCTCTTCAACCTCGAGTGAGATCTTCTCTCCAATCCAATTCGTGGATGTGAAGGAGGAAAGGGGCTGTGGTCCCAGAGGAGTTAAAGGAACTCTCAGAGACACTGCACAACACTGAAAGCACAAAGAGAAAATGCTGGAAGCCAATCCAAAAGCAGCAGCCATCTGCCAAGGCCTGCAGAAGACACTCGAGCACATCTTAAGTTACCCAACAAGGAGGCAAGCCCTGGTAACATCACTCTTAGATTTTTTTACAAAGAAATGAAGTTTAGTTCTCAATGCTTCAGTTTTACCAGTTTATCATTTCCCTATACGTAGAGTTTTTATGTTTTGACAAATTTCCAAAGGTCACAGAACAATCGTAACTTGGCCCACTGATGACTAAGGTCTCTGTGCCCAGCTCCGTCTGCAAGGCCACATCTATGGCCTTGCTCCCCTTTAGAAGCCCAAAATAGACAAGCAGCGTCCTCCAGGAAAGGCCCAACTCGACGGCGCGGCAAGGCAAGGGCCAAATGGGCTCGACGCTGTGGCATCGCCACTCACGTGGGAGTCACCCAGAGCACCGCCCAGCTCCCACCAGGCCCAGAAACGGCACATGCAGGACAGACAGCCGTTCTAGGCCTCTCCCTTAACTTGCTTAAGCCCACACATTACATTAACATAGAAGAGAAGCAGAGGGGGAGAAGAGCAGGAGGAGACACAGGGCTGCAGTGCCTTACCAAGCCCAGGACGGACTTCGGCATGGTCTTCCGGGCTCGGTGGACCTTGACGTCAGGGCCCGGGGCTGGCGGCGTCTTGTCCTCTGCATCCCGGCTCCCCTCCCCGAGCCTGGCTGGCACTGTGGCTTGCAACTGAGAAAACCCGCCCGAAGTCCTCCCTTTCCCAGCTCCTCCTGGCAAGGTCTTCGCGGCATGTCCAGGGAGTGGGGGGGCCGAGGGGCCACTAGTCCTCAGGGGCTGCCCCTGCAGGGCCGGCTTGGCGAGGAAGAACCCATTGCTCCCGACGACGGCAGTCTGGGTGAGCTCCTCAGCTCTGACGTGGTTCTGCTTTCCTGCCTCCACGTCTCGTTCCGAGATCCCATTCTCAGCTATTCGGGCCAGTTTGTTGGTGCCTTCCTGTGGGCTGGCTTTCGCGTTCTCCTGAGAGTGCTTTGCTGCATTCGGATGACTGCTGGCATCACTGTTTTCATAGGACCCATTGGTTTCACCATCTGCAGCTGTGTGGGCCTCCCCTCCCTGCTTCTCTGCTAAGCCTTCGTCAGCAGCCATGGGTACGTCTGTGGACAGAGAGAGGGATGTCATCGAGAGAGCAAGGCTTACTGCCACCCAACATGCCACCACCCAGCACCCCAACAAAACTACGGCCGTCATTTCCCTGATGGAGTTATGTAAGACTAACGGAAAATCCTTTCAGTTCTTACTCACGAAAGTGTTCAAACGTACGAATACAAAATCATGCCTTAAACATTAACTTTGAAGGTTAGTTGGTTGAGTCTGGGGAGAACCAAATCCTCGAAGAGCCATGCACTGGGAAACCAGGCATGCCAGCTGTGTCTGTCCATTCATCCATCCATCCACTGGTCTGTCCACACAGAGGGAGGACTATGCCAAGGGCAGCTGATGAAAGCCAGAGGCACAGAAGGAACACTCTCTGCTGGAAGAGCGCATTAAGCCACAAAAGATGGCAAGAGGTCAAGACACAGTCTGCAGACTGACAGATCTACCAGGAGCAAAGTCACCACTACAAGACAAAAGTGAGTACGGTTCACAGATGAAAACAAGGTGTCAGGAACAGCTGCACAAGGACAAACAAACAGAGGCCATGGGTAATAAAAACACCAAAAGGGCCTTCTTTTCAGCATACCAGCCAGAAGCCCAGCTGAAAACCCCTGGTTTCAGCGTCCATTCTTCACAAGAGCTTAGTCTCCTCTAAATAATGTGCACAGATCTTATTTGGGCTCTGTCATAAATAAGAAATGCACGTTACGTCGTAAGATCTACACATACATTTAACCTCGCGGAGCATGAACAACATTCAAAGGACGTGCTTGCTGGGTGCAGAAAGAGCGTGTCATTGACTCACAACCACCAGGAGGTAGCCTCTCTGCTATACCGTCCGTAGTATTATCACCTGACTTCCCACACACTTTCTTGCTTGTTGTAATCACTGTCTCTCTCTGCCACAGAATGTAAGTTCTACGAGGCAGGGAGTATTCCTGTCTGTTCTCTGTAGGACCCTGAGCACATTAACAGGGCCTAAAACATAGCATGTGCTCAATAAATATTTTCTTAATGAAAAAACAGCTATGCATGACTGAAAGAAAAAAAAAATCTTAGCAAAATCGAAGAAACTTCCTTAACTTGGAGAAGGCAAGTACCAAGATCTCAGGAAACATCAAGAAAGAGTAAATGAATTCCATGTAATATTAGAAATAACATAAGGACAGCCATTAATACCATGAATGTTTAACAGAAAAATGGAGGTACTCTGTAACACAACAGGGAAAAAAAGAAATAAGAGGTGCTGGGACTGGAAAAGAAGGGATAAAACTATTCTCACTTGTAAATTATGCAATTATCTACTTAAAAATCAAGGGCATTTTTCTACATGAGCATTAACAACTAGGAAATATAAGAGAAAAAATAAAATAATATTCACAAAAGCAAAAATACTATAAAGGATATAGGAATTATTTAACCAAAATTACTCAAGGTAGCTATGGAGGAAATGATTAAAATAAAGGACATTCCATGTTACTGAATGCCATGACAAGATTTCAAAGATGTCACGTCCCCTCAAATTAAATCTATAAATTCAATGGTAGTCCAATCAATATTCCAATTAGCGTATTCGGGAACTCCACAAACTTACTCTGAAAGCACTACCGAGAAAACTAAACCCATTGCTGTGGAGTGGATTCCGACTCATAGCGACCCCATAGGACAGAAAAGAACTGCCCCATAGGGTTTTCAAGGCTGTAATCTTAACGGAAGCAAACTGCTAAATCTGTCTCCTGTGGAGTGGCTGGTGAGTTTGAAACACGGACCTTTCAGGTAGCAGTCAAATGCTTAACCACCGCACCACCAGGGTCCCTCTGAAAGGTATACAGAAGAATAAATTTCCACAAGTAGCACAAACTATGGAAAAGAATGGTGAAAGAGAGGAAAGCAGACCCATTACGACAGAGAAGATTTAGGGGCCTCCCTGGCACCATCCACCAAGGGGAGTCTAGGTACCAGCTAGACAAAGCAAAAGCCTTTGAGGGGCTGAATGGTGATCAGACATGCAAGCTCTCAGGCCCAGCCAGCACTGCTGAGCCCACACCCACACACCTGAGCCTCAGAGAGACCTCTGGGGATTCTTCAACACACTTCAGTTTAAGGAATACCGCCCTAGATAGTGGGAAACCTCAAAGCTAATAAAGGAAACCACTGAAGACTGGACTTGTGCCCCGGCCAAAGGCAGGCCAACATCCGAAGCATAAATCATAACAACAACAAAAGACTAATTTGACTTCATCAGAATTACAGATTTTTGTTCCACAAGGAGCATCAAGAGAGTTAAGCAACTGATACCGATGGGGAGAATACAACCATAATTTCTAACACTGGCAAGACACTGATACCTGTCATCGTTAGGTGCCATCAAGCCGACCTTATATATAACCGAACAAAACACTGCCCGGTCCTGCGTCATCCTCACAATCGTTAATATGTTTGAGTCCGTTGTTGCAACCACTGTGTCAGTCCTTCTCCTTGAGTGTTTTCCTCTTCTTCACTGACTCTCTACTTTACCAGGTATGATGTCGTTCTCCAGGGACTGGTCCCTCCTGATAATATGTCCAAAGTATGTGAGACAAAGTCTCGCCATCCTTGCTTTCAGGAAGCACTCGGGCTGTACTTCTTCTAAGGCAGACTCGTTCTTTCTCCTGGAAGTCCGTGAAATATTCAATATTCTTCAACAACACCGTAATTCAAAAGCATCAATTCTTCTCTGATCTTCCTTATTCGTGGTCCAGCTTTCGCCTGCATACGAGGCAACTGAAAACACCATGGCTTGCGTCAGGTGCACCTTAGTCCTCAAAGTGACATCTTTGCTTTTCAACACTTTAAAGGGTCTTTGGCCGCAGATACGCCCAATGCCAATTTGATTTCTTGACTGATGCTTCCATGGATGTTGACTGTGGATCCAAGTAAAATGAAATCCTTGACAATTTCAGTATTCTCTCTGCTTATCATGATGCTGATTACTGGTTTACTTATGAGAAATTTTGTTTTATGTTGAGTTGTAATTCATACTGAGGGATGTAGTCTTTGATCTTCATCAGTGCTTCAAGTCCTCTAAACTGTCGGCAAACAAGGTTGTATCATCTGCATAATGCAGATTGTTAATGAATCCTCCGCCAATCCTAATGCCGCGATCTTCTTCATATAGTCCAGTTTCTCAGATTATTTGCTCAGCAGACAAGCTGAATAAGTATGGTGAAAGAATACAACCCTGATGCACACCTTTCCTGATTTTAAACCACGCAGTATCCCCTTGTTCTATTCAAATGACTGCCTCTTCTTGGTCTATGTACAGGTTCCATATGAGCACAACTAAGTGTTCTGGAATTCCCATTCTTCACAATGTTGTCCATAATTTGTCATGCTCCATACAGTCAAATGCCTTTGCATAGTCAATAAAACACAGGTAAACATCTTTCTGGAATTCTCTGCTTTTGGCCAAGATCCATCTGACATCAGCAACAATATCCCTGGTTCCGCATCCTCTTCTGAATCCGGCTTGAATTTCTGGCAGTTCCCTGTCAATGTACTGCTGCAACCACTTTTGAATGATCTTCAGCAAAATTTTACTTGTGTGTGATATTTAAGGATATTGTTCGATAATTTCCACATTCGGTTGGATCCCCTTTCTTTGGAATGGGCACAAATATGGATCTCTTCCCAGCAATTGGCCAGGTACCTGTCTTCCAAATTTCTTAGCACAGACAAGTGAGTTCCTCCAAGCGCTGAATCCATTTGCTGAAACATCTCAATTGGTATTCTGTCAACTCCTGGAGCCTTGTTTTTTGCCAATGTCTTCAGCGCAGCTTGGACTTCTTCCTTAAATACCATCAGTTCTTGGTCATATGCTACCTCCTGAAATGGTTGAACCCTGATCAGTTCGTCTTGGTACAATCACTCTGTGTTACTCTTTCCATCTTCTTTTGATGCTTTCTACATTGTTCAATATTTTACACAGAATCCTTCACTATTGCAACTGAAGCGGCTCTTTCGGTTTGAGAAATGCCAAGCATGTTCTTCCCTTTTGGTTTTCTAACTCCAGGTCTTTGCACATTTCATTATAATACCTTACCCTGTCTTCTCAAGCAGCCCTTTGAAATCTTCTGTTCGGCTGTTTTACATCATCATTTCTTTCGTTTGCTTTATCTACCCTCTGTTCAAGAGCAAGTTTCAGAGTTTCTTCTGACATCCATTTTGGTCTTTTCTTTCTTTTTAATGACCTTTTGCTTTCTTCATGTATGATGTCATCCAACAAATTGTCTGGTCTTCGGTCATTAGCGTTCAATGTGTCAAATCTATTCTTGAGATGGTCCCCAAATTCAGGTGGGAAATACTATTAATAACTAGATATAAGGAATTACTTTAATTAACATGAAAAATCAGAAACCCTAATAGAAAAAAGGGCAAATGATACAATTTACTGAAAAGGAAAGAAAATGCTAATAAGCACATAAATGGCCTATCACACTAATTAAAAGGCAGAGATGGTGAGACTGGATAAGAACAATGCAATGAACAATACAATAAACACATATGAAGTGTAATGATGAACCCAGATTAAAAGTAAAGAGACAGAGAAAGTATACTATGCAAACACTGATTTAAAAAACAGCTGGAGTGGCTACTTTAACATCAAAGTGGAACACAGAACACAGAATGTCATTCAATGCTGATAAAGGGGACAACTAATGAAAGACACTCTAAATACAAGTACCAAGTACTGACAGACTGCTAGGGATATTTTTTTAAATCCACAATGACAGTGAAAAATTTCAACAACTGTCTCAGTAACTCTGATAACAAGGGCACAGAAAATGAGCAAGGACTCAGCCTGAGGGGTGACGACAGTATCAGCCGAATGACCTAACCAGCCTTGACGGACCCCTCCATCAAAGACAGGACACCTCTGCTTCTCAAGGCATACAAACCTTCACCAAGAGACCACATTCAAGGCCACAAAACAAGTCTCTATACATTTTAAACTTAGTCA